CGAGCAAGTTGGTTAATCAATTATTCGGTTAATCAATTACTCGAGTAATCAAGATTTTGATTGCTCAAAACGATGATTAATCGAGTTACTTGAAATATGATTACTCAAAAAAAATAATTTTACTCGTTAAAAGAGTTTGCTTTGGAAAAGGCTTATTTCCTTTTTTACATTCTGTATACGAAACAAATTTTTTGTTTTAACTTTTTGAAAACAGAAACGTTGTTTTCAAAGTATCAAGGAACTTTAACTACTTTATACATATGTAAAGAGTTGAAATGTTGATTACTCATTTTACTCGAAATTTTGATTAATCATAATGCAGCTTACTCAAATATTTTTGTTTTTGGTTAATCAAAAATCTTGATTACTCGAGTAACTGAACTTTTGAGTAATCATAAATTCCAATTAATCGAATAATTTAGTTATTTACTTTATGATTAATTAAAATTTTGAGTAATCAATTAATCGCACAGCCCTAGTATTTATTACAAAAAAAAACTCCATTTGCTTTGGAAGCAAGATCGAAAGATATGAGGAAATTTACTCAGATTTCAATTAATTTTTTAAGAGTAAAGAGTGATTAACCATAATCTGATTAATCACGTGTTTTGATTATTTCTTGATTTTTGATTTCTGGCGGTAAAAATTTAGCGAGCGTAGCTGTTTGATTGAAAAATTTCAACTTCTTGTATTTTTATGAAGCTTATGAAAAACCTTTCTATAATAACAAGTATAACTTAGTTTCTGTAATACATTTGTCAAATTTCAAGTCAGAATTTTATCGAAATATTCAAATTTCTTCAAGCCCTGGGAGCGACCCCTAAAAGTTTGTTTAAAAGTTTTAAAATTGTGTGGGTGCTCCACACAAAATTTAGATGTTGATATATTAAAGAACACCCTTAAATACATAGAGTTTACATATCGTTACCTTAATATAGAATGGCCCTGTCTCACAACGTCGCCTACATACAAAAAAGCCATAACTAATTAAAATTTTGTATTGCATGAAACGAAATGGGGGACTTATAATTCGATGAAATGCGTCATAAACAATCAACAAGTGAATTTTGGATTTTTATTTAGTTACAGCTTCTTGTATTTAAGCGACGATGTTAGATAGGGCCTTTCTATATTAAGGTAACGATATGTGTGTATTATTAAACATTTCCATTTTTGAATTTCATATTTGACGCTTATGCTTTTGCTAAGTGTTTGACCGAGTTTTTTTTTTAATTTGTAGTGTGGTTTTGATGTAGTTACAGGAGGCCTACACTTTTATGCCGCCTTCGAGCGGCAAATGGATTTTATGAGAAGGTTTTCATGGCTGTTAGAGAAAAATTTTACTAATTATACGTTGCCCTTTCTCAAATAGAACTCAGGTCCGGTGGTAGTACGCACCTCTAAAAACTCGGCTACAGCGGCCGTTTTCAATGGAATATCGGTTTAAAAAAAGCTGCGACTAACTTAAGAATCAACTTAATTTCGGAGATGAATATACCCCACTGAATTTTTCATTTTTCCTTGAAAAAAAAAATTTAAATGCATGCATATGTACATATCTACGGAGCTCAAGAGGTTGTGTAATCGTAGTCATCCTGAAAATAAATATTTTATTACCATTTTTAATGACTTAGCCATTTCTTTGGTCGATTTCACTTTCAATGTATTCACGAAAATTTACTTACATTCTTCCACTTTTCATTTTTTTAGGGAAATTTATCCCTTTCCAAAAAATAAAACAAGAATTTTAACAATCAAATTAGTTCAAATGTCCGCTGCTCGTCTTTCTATTATGCATGCAATTTTTACTTAAGTCAATCTATGAATCACCAAAAAAATTGTGTTCCCATTTACGTGATTTTTATTTACTTAATTTTTTTCTCATATCTTGCTCGTAAAATGCATACACAAATGTCAAGTGTTTTTTTTTTTGAAAAATGTTTATGTACTTGCGATCTTTTCTGCGCACAGTAAAACACAATGCTGATATTGCACTTTCATATACTTATGTACATACATACAAACATATACGCATTTAAGCCCGTTAGCAAATAGAAAAGAATGCAAGAAGGAGATTATTTACATTTGCTGAAATAAATTTACTGCATTCATACTAATATTAAAAGTCAGCCATACAAATCTTCACGCTCGCTTCTTCCCATACACTGCTCCGCAATGGCATTTGTCCATCCGCCTTGTATATGACAATATACATACCTAATGTATCGCACATTTAGTAGAACAAGATGCGATATAAACGGAACCGCTAACGACCCGATATACAGTGCCGGCCACTTGAATAGAGCCACCATTGGATTCTGAGTATTCAGATATTTTCTCGACGGCCCTGGTTATATTGAAGAAAATGCGTCGTAACACCCTCGACAAAAAAAATATCAAAAATCAACGGTCGTTTTTACTCACCCAAAGTCTGTACCAGATGCTTCACGATTTTCAGGTTTTTACATGAAGCTGTTTCCGGTCGCCACCTTCCATAAGGTGCTATTGTAAATCCTGTAAAATCTGCACATCGTGAAGTACCTGAAACAGGGCTTTTATTGTACTAAAATTGAATGGGCTATAAAACTGCACACCCAAAAGAATTAAAACTTGGAAAGTTTAATTTTTATAAATTTTTTATAAAGTTTGAAAATCGGATTTACATGTTTTTGTTATAGAATATGCTATATTTCTGTGTTCGTATGGAAAAGTAGCTTATGTCGAAAGGCTGGCTTTAGTATAAATCGGCATTCGCAGCATACGATTGCGAATGACTCACAGGTGCTGAGCTGTTGTAGAACTTTTGGCAAATAAACGTGCAAGAAGTAGTTCCGATACTAGCAAGTCAGTATTCTTATTCAGTCTCATCAAAAAATTCCTTGCCGTTTAAAGAGTAAAGGGAATGCCGCATTATACTAAAGCCAGCCTTTCGACATAAGCTACTTTTCCATATGAACACAGATTTTTATACAAAATTCATGAATATTGAATAAACAAATGAAAAACTGTCAATACTGAGGATCAAAAGCGGGCGCTTATTCAGGTTCCCGGCACTGTACATCTACTATACGAAAATGTATATTTTGAATTATCCTCTCAGTCATTTGGTGGACACGACATGGCACAGCCAACGCACGCTCTGGTGGTATACTCGTACATACATACCACATAGTGTGGTGTTCTGTGGCATATGCCTTCTATTTGGCGCATACTAAGTTTTTTGTAGTAAATACTCATATGTATATTCAACAGTTTCAACAGTTGAGCAGCCAAACGGAACGGGACGTACCGTCCAACCAACCGACTCTCTCTTTGTTTATAAAAAAAAAAAACGTTTTTGTTGTTCTTTTTGTATATCATTTTATTTTTCTTTTGGCTATAACCATTAGACTATCTAGACTATATTGCATACAAGACTTTCCATGTGCGCATAATTTTCATTTCTGTATATCTAGTCGCTCAGTTTAATTTTGCCTTAGTTGCGGGAAATACGTAAATATTACGTATGGTGGTGGGTTCTCGTTTTCATTTCATTTTATTTAATTTTATTTTCGGTATTGACAAGGGGACCTTTCGCCTCTACTTACATACATACATACTACATTTACCGAATACATCGCATTTAAATAAAATTGTTGTTTGTTTTAATAGTTAAAGTTATTAAAAAAACAGCAATAAAATATGAATTGGTTACTCTGTATCGCGTCGGTTTTGTCGGTTTTAACGGTTGTTTTGTATAAAGGTAAGAAAATCATCGCAGGATTTGGTGATCTCAATAACGATCAAATTTGTCTGTGGATAGTGAACAGTGCCTTATTGGTCAATACAAAAGTTGTTCGTAAATGTGTACATTAGGGTGGTTAAATGTAGGGAGCAAAGTTTTACATCAGCTTTCCTAAGCGCCAACCCCTACGTCGATGCTGCTATAGTCGAAGATATCACATATAAATTTTGGTCCCGATTGGAGACGGTTAAGACGTGTCGCACAGGGGTCAAAGTTCAGTCTACCCTATGACGACGTTTTAACCGACTACAGTCGGAACTAAAATTTATATGTGACATCTTCGCCTTTAGTAGTATCGATTTAGGGCATTAAATTAAAAAAAAAAACATATTGTTAATTTTTAGAGCCCTTAGAGGCGTCAGGCCTTCGACCCCTTTGCGACACGCCTTAATCGACTCTAATCGGGACCAAAATTTATACGTGATATCTTCGACTATGGTAGCTTCCATTTTGGGTATTAGATGAAAAGAAAATTAATTTTAATTTTTTTGAGTCTCCATAGAGGAATCTGAACTTTGCCCCTTGTGCGAGACGCCTTAAGCGTCTCCAATCAGGACCAAAACTTATATGTGACATCTGCGATAGTGGTGTTATCGATTGAAGGGGTGGGACTGGAAAAAATCGTTCATTTGATTTTTTAAGGACCACCCTAGTGTACATAAATATGTAAATGTGTGATGCTAAAAAACTATTTTTAAAAATTGTAGCTCAAGGTCAGATGAAAATTCCATATCGCTTGTATAAATGAAGTAAGCTTTTTTCTATATAACTACATATTTAGTACGATATCAAAATGGCTTAAAGTTAAAAGTGATATGTGTGTATTAACAGCTTAAAAGGATAAAAAAAAATCGTGTATATATGTATGTATGTATGTTTAAGTATGTAAATGCATACAGACAAGTGCACCTGTTTCGCTAATGTACAACAAATTTATATGAGAGCGCTTTTTGATCTGAAAATTTTTTTATTTTTAATAAAAAATATGTTTGATCGCTATGAAAAACTATCGATGAAAAACTATATATATGTACATATAGTTGTTTTCAACACAGGAAATCCATCGAATGTACCGAATGAAAGTATGGTATACAGCAATATATACATACATATTTACATGCACACATGTATGTAAAACATGAATATGCGAAAGAAAAACATATTCCAAAATCCAATTCCATCATTTTTAAATATAATACTTGATGTATATACATACCTACATATGTATGCATGGAAATACATACATATATTCACTTTCCACGCTCTCTATTGGTTGATGGTCGTTTTGTTATCAGAGAGAGTGGCGCCTGATGTCGTTCACTTTTCGCCTGCTGCAAAATTAAAAAGTTATCGATCAGAGTGGGAGAATGTATAATATTTAGCGAGCAAAAAAGTTAATTTGTTTATACTTATGTATTTACATATGGGTTTACTAGGTACATATATACATATGCATGGATGTTGGGGTGGTCCTTAAAATGCCAACATCTAAATTTTGTTCTACGTACCAAATAAAGACATCCACGAAATTTTCAAAATTTTAAACAAAAGTTGGGCTCGCTACCATGGTTTGAAAAAAATTTAATTTTTTCAAATCGCGAGAATTAGAGCTGATTAAAGTCAAATTTTTGTGGTTTAAAAACAAAAAAAAAACACAATTTTTGTATGCCCTCGTAGCGACTCCTAAATTTTCTTTATTTCGTGCGTACTTAGAACAAAAGGTTGCGTCCCATGATATTGACATTTAAGGGACCACCCTAATGCATGTGCATACGTACATACATACATATGTATTATGTCTAACATAAACGAAATTTAATTATTCCAAATTTTACATTCTCTTACTTCTACTAAAATGTCTTAGCTTGAAAGATTGCAGTGGACATCCAAAAATGTTTGAACTGTGCCTGGTTATTCTCGCTTGTACAGCTCCTGTGGTGCAATTTGAAGTACTACGAGTATTTTGACAGTATATTCATTTAAGAAACCGGCTCAAGACTTATGCGACAGTTGCGGAAAGGATGTCCTTTATACTTGTTGACATTCAATTCCAAGTTTTCCAGTCAAAAAAGCTTCAAAATTTCGTAAACCGTGGAGCCATCAAAATGAAAGCTTTAAAACCCATGAACTTCGATTTATTCCCCATGACCCCCAAGTATTGCTTACAAACTTACAACGCAGATTTCGTGCGCGGCTTTGATGTTTCTTTAGATAGATGGAAAAAAAAATAGGAAAAGTACCGCGACCAGTAGGCCTATTGCGCCCTCAGCCGAGCACAACATTGCATCGAGTCCTAAAGACTATACATTTTAGGAATAGATCCCGTCGGTAGTGAGTGTGTATGTACTTCTCTTAGCCATAGATGTCCTATGCATCTCTTCCTTCTCCGTGAAATGGTTTCACACTCCAAGTAGAGATGCAATGGTGTCCCTTTCGCGGAGTCACAAAAGCGACATAAATAGATTTCTTGACAAGATTCCCAGCTTATGCAAGTGGCCTCTTAACTTACAATGACCCCACAAAATACCTGTAAAAATCATACGCCTCTACCTCTTTAGATTATACCCCCCTAGTAAACCCTCAGCTTGACGAAACCCTTCGTGAGCACTTCCTTTATCGTGCTGTAACAACACCGCAAGGAAACGCTCAGGTCCTATCGGGGTCGAGAAAGCTGACGTTATGGCTAGTGATGGGCAAAAAATCACTATCGGCGACTTTTTCACAGCGATTTTCAAGTCACCGTTTATCACAGTGATTAAAAATATTAAATCACCGTTTTCCTATTTTTTCATTCTACCACGTGTGGCATCACTATTACTGTTGAACCATTCACAATTGCATCAATCGCTGTAACTGGTAAACAGTACTGCCGTAAAGTTTTAAATTAAGATCTTCATTAAAAGGGCAAAAGCATGCTTGATACAACTACTATCTTCGCGAAGTTTTGTCTCATGTATTTTATGTACATATTATATTTACATTTTCAGCAACACAGAAACTTGTCACTTTTTATTTAAAAATGTAATAATATGAAACTAATATACATTTAAAGCTTTACGAATTGCATTTTAATAACGGTATTATAAAATTATGGAGTGCTTATTGCGTTGGCTTTTTTAATGGCTGTATCAAGCTGTACTATCGAAAATTCACATAATTCTAAAATAGTGATTCGAATCACCGATTAAAGTCACTGCTTTCAGGAAATCACAGTAACAGTTTTCACAGTGATTGTAAAATCACCGTTTTGCCCATCTCTAGTTATGGCTAAAGGCCCGTTTACATACAACTTTGGCGTTGCGTTGGCGTTGGCGTCGCTTCGACAGCTGACTATGAATACATGTATTTATATGAAAGTCTCCATATAACCAAAGTTGGGCAACGCCAACGCCAACACAACGCAGGAAGATGTCCAACTCTCAACTTTTCGCGCGCGTCGTTCGTCAGCTGTTCTAAATAATCAAAATTATGTGATTTAATTTTAATTTTTAATCAAATGCGGGCAAGAAATATAGTTTTTAATGCAATTATTGATGTAAAAATTTTGATTTATCAGCCGCTAGTATGTTAATTTAGTGACCAAAGTATTCTGTGCTAAGCGTTCATTGTAGCAAGCACGGGCGTTACGCGCGCCGCTGTCAAAGCGACGCCAGCGCCAACGCAACGCCAAAGTTGTATGTGGACGGGCCTTAACTGGTCGGCCTTCTCATTTACTTTAACTGACATGTACCGTGGCACCCATATCAGTTGGACAGCATTTTTCTCAGCACGGACATTAAGCTTCTCTACGCACTCTGCAGGCGACCGCTATAAAAAAAACAATTATCTTTGATATTTCTCGGACCTGGGATCGGACCCTGAACCTACCGACTTTTGTTTGGGGAATTTTTATGCTGTTACAATAATCAGTTTATAAAGAACGATAAGTGAAAGACTGACTCCGACAGTACATAAATGGAGTTTCTGTGAATGTTATGAACTGACCTTATTTGTGAGTGTAGTCTTAAAAGAAGTGTTATAGTGTTAAGTGTCTGTAATGCAGTGGCGAACCAACTCGTGTCACTACAGCAGCTTATTGTTACCCGATCATATGGCCCTCCCTACGACATCGCAATGTAAATTTTACCACAGGCTTTAAATGCGTTTCGGTTAATTTTGGAGTACTCTTAACCTTTCGGGAATATTCTTTACATGCGTTCATGAAGTAGTAGCAATATAATAGCAATAAAATCCCGACTTTTATGAAATTACTTTGTATTTTTTCAGAAAGCAGCTGCTTGATATTGACTGAAATCGAAGGACCATCTTTGGTGGTAATAGATGATGAAAATGTGGACCCAATACCATTGAATTGCCATTTTAAGGTTGAGCAGGAAACCCACTCTCTGGTTGTGAAATGGACTAAGGATAATAATGTGATTTTCCAATACATCAAAGGACATGGAACCTCCGTAATTGTAAGAGAACATAAAAAGTATTATTTTTAACCGACTTCCAAAAAAGGAGCAGGTTATCAGTTCGTCGGAATATATATATATATATATTTTTTTTTTTGCAACGTCAACCGTCGATAATTCTTTTTGCATCGGAAAGGTAGTGAGGTGGTCCCATACTAATCTGGTTAAGATCCGTTCAGTGGATCATGAGATATATATATATATATATACATTTTTATATGAGAGTTGAAGTCGTTTTTTTTGCTAAAAATTACTTGTTTTTCTTTTAATTAATATGATGACTTGTTTTATCATTTGCTTTGTGAAATTTTAGCCGGAGTACAAAAACGAAATAGCAGCTCTATCCTCCGAACCGGATGACGAACAAACAGGTATACTTCTGATCAATCCGTCGATCGAATCGTCAGGAATATACAGGTGCCATGTTCAAACTGATGTCCAAACGAGATCCATGGATAAGGAGTTGCATATTATTGATATACAAAACTACACATATACGCTTCTTCCGCAACGAATTCAAAACGAAACCCATTTGGAATGTAACATTGAGAATGTGTTTCCAGAGCCAGCGCTAGCTATTATTCAGTGAGTAGAAATCGATCTCAATTTGTAGTGAAACTATCTCTAAAAAAAATATGCTAACATCCGTATTCTTACAAAGTCATAAAGCATGGCTCATCACTGCTGTGCTTTCTACATCGCCTCAAAGTTTGCTGCTGCAACAAATATGCCGTTACAACACAATTTTTTAAGTGTTTGTGTATTTTTCTAGCACTTAAAATCGAATTTTTTGTGGCACATTTTGAAGCGCACTAGAAATCACAACTGTGATAAGCTAAGTTTAGTGACTCTGTTAGAATGGAGGGGTAAGTATAATTAGAACTAATTAAAATTTTCCATACGCAGAGCCTTTGATGGAGAATCAATACCAATTGTGTCAACGAATTCGACGCAGTTTAGCAATGGCAAGTTTAGCGCAAGTGCAATAGCTGTTATAAGAACGGATGACGAAAGCGCAGTAGAATATCAATGTATTACAACATTTGACGGTTTGTCATTTAACTTAACAACGAATGCTGAGTCAGGTAGTATGTCTTTTAGGAGACCTGAATGGAGCTATCTTTTATGGACTTCTTTATTAGCACTTGTTACTTATGAAAAACTTAGATTTTAGGGTTTTATGTCTTTACGCTGACTAACTAATTTATTTGTTGGATTTGTAAATATTTTTTTTGTAAATTTGTAGATAAAAATATATATTTATGTATATTTGTAAATAAAAAGAAAAAACTAATTATGAAAGTGCTTTTATGCAGCTTTTTTTTAATAAGGACCAGTTTTTCAGTGCCAGTTTAAACTTAGATTAAGTAAACCGAGTTTAAATTGAACAGCTGGCTGACATTCGATTGGCTGATCTTAGTTTAAACCAGCCAGATCGGGCGGTTAAACTGAGTTTAAACCACGGGCCGTTATACATTTTCAGTTGCGATCCTGTACGAGTCCGAACTTGCAACTAACATACATTCTAGGATGCCCATCGAAAATGTTTTTTTTTTTTAGGAAATTTTAAGATCCTACCCGCTAGTTTTATTTGTTTTTATGAGAAATATTATTGCATGTTGTACTATCCAAAATGAAATCTATTTTTAAATAAACTGCTAGCTCATTTATTGCACTCGCATAAAAATTGTCGAAGTTAGGCGACTTCCTACATACGTTCTTGAATTTATTTTGTTTATTTACCATACTTTCAGATCTTTTTAGCAGTGTGGCTAAGGAATTCATCAATATTTATAAAATGGGGCTGGCACCGCCCACTTATATGATATATGCGAGTTATGATGTGATAAAAAATGGCTTACGGCTAGACACCTAATATTTTAGATGTTGTATAACTTTTGCGAATTTTATTTATTTTTTTAATTCCTAGCGATTTGACATAATTAAAAGGTATTTCTACATTATACACAGTTGATATCAAAATAGAAAAAAAATAATAATAATTTTCATTAAAATAGCTTGGAAAGGAATAAATGTTTTACGTAATGTTTAACGTAAAGTGAAAATTGAAAAATTAATTATTACTGTATTGCTAACGAACAAACGTTAAAAATGGACGAACAGTAAAGAACAATCGACGATCTATCGGTTGCAATACACAAATCTTAATATTTATATTAATGAAGTGCTAACGTCGGTTGGGTCATTTTCAGGCTTTTCCCAAAAAAATTCTAGTTCAAGTTCTTACGTATCACCCTGTGGCGATTTCTCAACTTGTTTCTGTCATCATTTAAAAACTGTGTTATCATTAAATGCACCAGTTTACCATTGTTTTTATGGAAGTTTAAAATAAAGCACTGTGAAATATGGTTGGTAGGATTAAATAATTTTAAGAGTTGTCTTAAACTAAGTTTCAAATGGCAACAAATTGATCTTGAAAAAATCAATACTAACCAACGCTGAAAGCCGCACACATTTCCGGTCATTCTTTCATACATACTAATACAGTTTAATTTATTAAAATGACTTGTTATCGTCCGCGAGGAACCCTTGCGCGGGCCATCTTTCAAAAATTCCACAATGATCGCTCTTTGGAAGAACTGGATACTAGGCTTGTAAGTGCAATGTACTTCCTTTTGTTAAAACTGCTTTTATGGTTAAGTAAATATGTCTGAATGTATGTAGATGTGCAATGTATTTGTTTAGGTATCGTAAAAGAAAAATAATAAAATAAATATTGTATTAGCAGGAAGTTAAAAGAAAACATAGAAATTATGTAAGCATATTTGCATTTCTATACACAAAGTTCTTTCGAGAAAATATTGCTTCTCTACATTATTTAAAATTGATTGTTCTAAAAAAATTAATGCGAATTGCCTATTAAACATTATTGCTAACGACTATGTAAATGTATGTACAATTCCCGGGAAATCAAATATGTTATTTACAAAACATTATTTTATTAAGTCGTTAAAAAATTTATAAGGAGGATGAACCACTTGTTTGGTTTGCAATTGATACGCGTGTAAATGATTCAATTAAAGCTAAAGCCAAGCACTCGCATTTGTACGTTCCCACGACAGTCGGGTCTACGTAACCGGAACGACCCAGATTTATATCTGGCCAAGGACTGTCACTCTAGCAACACTCCCCAAAAACCCTTTGGGAAACTTGTATGCTGCTACAACAACAACAATTCGCATTTGTACGTGCGTAAATTGAATGCGTCAATTAACCCGCATCCATCGTTTGTAAAAAGTTGATGCAAATTTCGAAAACATTAAAATATTAAGAAAAATGGTTAATGTTTTGAATTGGTTTTTTGCGACAAATGCGTATAGATCTTTCAAGCATTTTTATTTATTTTGGAAAATGAATAAACACATTTTGGTCATTAATAAAAAGGTAAAAAAAAAACAACAACTAGGGTCTTCTTCCATATGTATCAAATTGATGCACTTTGTGTTACAAAAAATTTCCGATGGATGCGTGTTAAATTAAGTCAGGTATACACTTTGGTTGCATTTCTTTATTCATTCTGAACGATTAGAATGAACTTTTTTGTTTACTTATTCTTTAGAACGTTTCTGATGATATGTTAACGTATATTTCAAACGCATTCTGTTTATTCTGGCTGTGAAATGTGATTATCTGGAATGTATAAAGAAACGCAGCCTTTCTTTCATTTCTATAGGTAAATTCATTTTTTACATCTCGGCAAAATTTAAGGGCTTTTCTTTGGAAAAGTAATAATGCTTGTTCATTTTTACAAGACTACTCCAGCAAAAAAAAATACCGAAATATATTTTTTCAAAAAATTTCTTATACATACACTGCCGGAACAAAGTATTGGCACAGCATGTTTTTCACAATATATGCAACAATTTTCATTCTAATATTTTTCCGCTAGCTTCGTATAAAAATATGGTTTATTCTACAACAAAAAACATAAAAATATAACTCCTAAACTTTGTGCAAAACTCGCGAAAATTCAGCAAATTTTCATCAAAACTTTCAACTTTTTAATCAGATTTTTTAGAATTTTTTTTGAGAATGCAATTTTGAAGCCCATTATATTCTAGTAAAAAAATTGTAAGTTCGGATTTAGTTAAAAATCGCGTTGATTTTTGAGAATTTTTTTTTTTGTTGAAGGTAGTTTGCTTTTTTCCATATATAGTATTTTCGAAAAAAAAAAATTTTTGTATGGAAAAGACTGCGTGAAAAAAAAAATTGCCAAAAATCACCGGTAATTCCTGGAATGAATTTATAAAATATATTAGGGGCTGGGCTCTTGCCCCTGAAAAAGCTTAAAAAGTTTTAGCGAAATGTTGGGCCAGAAAGTGAAATTGGGAAAGCAAATCCGACTTCAATTCTGATAAAAAAATTTAAGTGTAACCGTTAAAAAAATATTCCAACAATTTGATAATTAAATTAAGTGTGTTATTTATTGTACTAACTAGTATATGTATTTTCAGTGGTATACAACCAATCATGAACTACCTCCCAAATTCCAAACCAAGTTTGTACCATTGCTCCAGCCAGACGAATCGACAACGCGTTGGCTAGAACGTGCCAAAGTACTATCAACAAATATTTGGCTTCACATCTGGCATGCTGTAGCTCGCGTAGTTTTACAATTTTTTATGACGCAGACTGATATTAATGGATATCTAAATCGTGGTTCTATGTTTATACTATCGGAACAACAATTTGGAAAACTGCTTAAATGTGGTGGTTTTGACTTCAAATCATATGATACTGTAATTATAAAACGGTTAACCTATCTTTATCCAATATTTAAAAAATTAAGCTTTTACAGATACACTGCTTAGATATTGGCGCCGGAGATGGTGAAATTACTATACGTTTGCTAAGATCGATTCAGGATTTACATCCAAATAGCAAAATTCATACATTTGCCACAGAAACCAGTTGGACAATGCGTGAGCGTTTAAAAAATAGAAACTTTAGTATTCTTGAACGGATAAGTGAGGTACAAAATGTCCAATTGATATCATGCTTGAACGTGCTGGACCGATGCATCGATCCAATAGATCTTTTGGAAGAAATTTATAAAGCGTTAGCCCCAAACGGACGTGTTTTATTGGCACTGGTTTTACCTTATGTACATTATGTGGAAATGAATTCATCCCACATGCCACTACGTCCTCTACTAAAACATTGGCCAGAACGTTCTCAGCAAATGAGTTTCGAAGCAGAGGCAGTTGCATTTTTTGAATTACTAGATCAAATGGGTTTCCGTATTGAAGCTTGGACTAAAGCACCTTATTTATGTGAAGGCGATTTAAGGCAATCATTTTATTGGCTAGTAGACATTGTAGTAGTATTGTCAAAAAAACCCTTAGGTAATAAAGTTTAAATATTTATACTAATGAATGTAAAATGTATGTATGTTATTTAAATGCATGCGACAAATGTAAATCTATTGTTCTTAAATGTGCCGGAAAGAAAAAAGGCACTAATGCTAGTAAATATTTTTTGTATTGCAGATTTAGTTATATCCTATGGTATATTTGTAATCTATTGACCTTTGTATTTGTGGTATTTGTGTACAATGGTATTACTTATAGTTTGTAGTTTGTAAATGTAGATGATTTTGCTTAGAACAATTGTAAATTGAATTTAAAAACAGCATCAAGAGTAAATTATAATTTCAAAGCATATTTTGTTCACTTTTATTATGTACTTTTACTGCATATCAGCTTGGTAAAGTGTAAAAAATGCCATGTTAAACCATGTGTTTGTACGCTTTTAATTATAAAATTAACATCTAATTAGTAATGCTGTGACTAACAAAGAACTCTTTGTTAGCATCAAGACGATATGTTTGGGTAATCCATCTGCTAAACAACCCTGTCACGGATATAAACGAGTTTGTTCTGGTAGCATAGGTGAATCGTTGTTGGGAAAGCGGGGTTTTCGTCTGAATTTTTTATATGGATTTGTTATTGTTGATGCAACCGCATATAAATCACGAAATTTTGTCTAAAAAACGGTCCTTACAAATATGTTTTTTTTTTCTGTTACGTCGCACTGTGCGTAATTTGGCGATCAAGGGGAAGGAATATCAAAAATCGAAGTTGGTAAAAAAAAGTTCAGGTACGATATATGTGCGTATGGATGTCTGATATAATAGAAAATCGGTCCCCAGTTGTTCGAAAATAAGGTAGAAGAATGTTGATCTTGTACAAACATGCCTGTTTTGACGAACGATAATCGTCAATTGTCCGGCCTTTATCAATCAGTGGTCGTATTTGTCTCATTTCCTTACGAGATTACAGTCTGAGTATACTTTTCGTTTTACACATTGTAAACTTAAGTAAATACAATTGCGCTCCTTTAAATTTGAAAAAAAAAAATGCGATTTCACTTTTTTCATATGAGGATATAAATTGCTTGTCAGCGTGTATAAATCGGATCTATTCAGGAATCTTTAATCGATCATCTGTCCAATAGGGCCAATAGTGCGACTTTGCACAAAATTGCACAATTTAAAAAAAAAAGTCGATTTAAAGTCAACCTTTAGTAAAGAAATCGCATTTTTTGTGTATTTTTGGTGACAAAAATTTAGTTATTGTGATTTTTTTCATGTCGGGTTCCTGGTGGGAACGACCAAATTTTCTGCAACATAGATATATCACTTTTAATTTTTGACTATAAAGACCTTCCCCTGGAAATGCCCATATAAAATATTGTACTTATGGAATCATGTATGTACATCCTTTGAAACCGTAATCATACAGTCTATTAGAAGTACATAACTAAAAAAAATAATTTTTAGAGTCAAAATTGTGGGCGCTATGATTAATAATAAGGGAGAGAAGAAAAATTCCAAACTATCTTATTTCAAAATTTTCGTTTCAAAGTTTGTATAAGTTAGCCGAATGTCACCTGCCGGGATAGCGATACCATATATTAGGAGTGTACTCGCACGCCCAACTATGTAAAGTTTTAGAAAACTTTTACTGGTTTTGAGTTCTCGTACCCAAAAAACTTGCAAAGTAGGGGAAATTGAGAGAGCAAAATGTGAAAGAGAGCTGCAAATTTCTGCTGGAAAAATTTTTCCCAGCTAAAACTTGCAAGTTAGAAAATCAGATGATCACAAACACATGTTTGTAAATAAACAAAAGAAAATATGGCCTTTTTGAGTTATTTATTGCAAATTTTATTATTAATGCTAGTATACAACGAAAAAGTGAGTAAATTTAATATGCACAACGTTTGTTGTGCTTATTTTTCGCTAATTTGCTATTAATCTCCAGTTTGTTTACTTTAGTGTGTGCTGACTATGGTTGCCGTATGACATTTTTCGTTTGTACCATAATTTACCTTTAAATATACCAAAATAGATTTAAATGCAGCATGCTGAAATGTTGTTTTGCTGAAGTTTCGGTTTTGGTACGTTGATTGTTGAACTGAAAATTTTATAATTTTAAAGCTACATCTGTGCTATATCTATTACATTGTTTTTGGATCAATGATGGGTGTTTGGAGGAGATACTCTTGTTTTTGAATGCGTCACCATGTGATATCACAAATAATTATGAGAAAACTAACTTATTCATATAATTAGTTGGTATTTTAAAAATATTTTTCTTATCGAAAACTATTCAATTGTATAAAATGCCNCTAGAAAATAACTTTTTTCTTTCTTTCCTTAAGGCGTGATCTTGTGTCTTTCGTTCATGCTTCTGTTGATATTTCGTCTCTTTGAGAGCGAATGCTGCTAAATTCTCAGAACTTTTGCTGCTGGAGAATTTTGTCCTCTCAATACGCGTACAAACCTATTGACTGCTCTATAAAATATGCAGGCATGTTCTGCAAATAGTACGATATTAAATCGGTAGGATCTAGAAAACTTATTTTGGAGATTTTTCAACAAAAAGTAAAAAATTTGGCACTAAATCGGTGGATAAGACCTCTTTAGGAAGATTGTATGCTGTTACAACAACAACGTAAATTATGTGTTTTTAGCAGTTTCCATTTGAAATATTTATTACTTTAATTACAAATAGTCAAATCTATTCTACAAATCACATTGATTTCAAATCGTAGGATTTTCAGAATAGTCCTCATAATTGGCAAAATTTGCCGAATACTAATTTTTACTACCGCTGAATCAATTCTGAAAAGAACCAATATTCTAGATTTACCTTCTTTGGAAGGTTGGCCAACTTGCCTACACACGGCTTATTTACCACCAACTTCTAGCGGTTCGCAAACTGGTTGGCCGATAAATCAATGCGTGTGTAGGGCCTTTTCTACGCAGACGATCATATGATTCCTGGTCACGAATTGGCGTTGCTTTCACTGCAAAACGAAAAAATTGAGAGCGAGCGAGAACACTGAACCGCATGACCAATCCTTTCAAATTTGACCAGCCGGCTGAGACCGAATCACTGATCAAAGGAGGGTTGGATTGTGAATACAATTTGCTATTTGCTCCTTTTAGTAGCGAAATGGAGATTTTTCATACTATTTCTCCTTTTAGTAGCGGAATGGACCATTTTTGCTGGTCATTGACTCTCTGCATAACAGCAGGTTCTTTCCCGTACGCAACGCGGGATCCCGCTGGTGCTCAAAACAGCCCAGAAATCATTCCCGTACTCAGCAAAATGGGTAATAGAGCGAAAATTTGGACGTATTGGATCGTAAGTGACTTCTGTTTCCTGCCCGAAACAGCCCTGACGTTTTCTTCGGGTAAAAATGGATGAAGTGTCAAAGTGCTTATGAGCTGCTTTGTGTTTATATGTAGCTTGCATTTACTTTTAAGGAATAGTGAATGGCCTGTTGATTTATTTTCAATTAAAATCAAATTTGTGAAACCAGCCATTTGGTCGCCAGCCAACTTTGAGCTCGTTCAACTTTTTTTCCTTGCAACCCTGTGTTTGTTTACATTCTGTATACATACTTTTTTCTTTTTTACTTTTTTACTTTTATTTTATCTTTCAGCTTCGCTAAAAGCACTTTACCAACGCTTGGCTTACCAAATTTACGCCAATTCATAAAATTTTGCGATTTAAATTCATTTTCAAAAATGTAAATAACAATTCGTGTTGAATCAAAAATAGCCTCGTCTGAATAGGGTGGGCAACTTTTTCACTTTCAACTTCGAATTCAACTTTTGTTGCCAGTGAAATAGCCGCGTGCGAAAGCCCTATTAAAGCTCAAACAGTCAACGACGTAACGTAGACGTAGGTTGCCGCAGACACGATCTACCTTACGGGATTCGCGTGTTAGCGAAAACTCACCACCGCATGGCGGTGACGTTGCCATTGTTTCTCTCTCTCTCTCTATCAACAGTAAATTTGATATGCTGCTACGTACGCCAACCTACGTTTACGCTACGTCGTTGAGTAACTGCGCTTTTACATATCCGAGTATACATACACATACACGTAAATACATATCCTGCAAACAAATGCTCCCGAAATCTTTTTAAAGCATCGGAAGTTTGTTCATATTTTTTTTTACGAATCTTTAAAGAAAAACATATGAAGCGGTTGACAAGAAGTAGTAAAGAAATTGGTATAAAATTTCTCAAAAAAAATTCTGAATTAATACCGAAACTAGGACAAAATGCGCTACCGGAATCGGTTCAGAACCAAAATGCGCTACCGGAATCGGGTAGGGTCCCAATTATTTCTTCTTTGATATGGCAGCACTGTATCCCAATTGGAGTAAATACTTGAATAGTGATAGCTTTTCGATAATCAAGTATCGCACATCACTAAAATAGTGCAAAGTGAGTTCTTAAAAGTGATAAAATTATACTGATAAAAATCAGTTTTAAGTATATTTTAGCTAAAAAGCTATAAAAAAGTGAAAACCACATTTCGTAATGTAACACAAAGTAAATGCACAAAGCGTTCGTTGGCTGGAAATACACATAATTGTATGTATGAACGCTTGTGTGCTACATATTCGCGTATATTTTTTCTTATACGATACATAAAAATGGACAATGTCAGTAATAACTCCTATATAAATGGAAAAAGTGTTTTGCAATGTGCATATTACATGCGCGATTGTTAAAAAATATAAACCGTATGTTCATTTTTTCATTGGGATATACTCGAAACTTGCTCGAGGGTGAATTTTTGCATACCACGCCTAGATTTTCCGCATTTGTGCAAAAAAAAAAATCTATTCACGGGAGTCGGACTCTAATTTTATAAATATATATATATTTTTTTAATGCGTGAACATACATAGTTCTGTAGCGAATGGATTTAATGAATGTGACATCTTTTCTAAAACTACATATTTTAGGTATCCAAAGAAAGTACAATATGAGCAGATCACTTTTTTATATACATACATACATACCTATGTACATGCATACATATACTATTGATGTGAGACAGTGTTCCTCGATATAAAATTCATTAGCTTCATCCTAGTCGCGTTATATTATACTTTTATTCATGCGAAAAAGGGTGAAAAAACTTGTTGAGTCAAAAATGTTTAATTTAAAGTGAAAAATACATTTTCCGAAAAGTATATTGGTCGTAATCATCACTTTTCAAAGGTTCTAAAAACATATATGCAAAACAAAAGTATACATATGTATGTATATATGTATGTAGGTATGAATATTCCAAAAGTATGCTGCGGCGCAGACATAGATTTTTTATATACAGTAGTGAGCAGAAAAAAAACAACATTTAGCAGGGATGAGCAGGAGGTAGAGATTATGAAGTGGGAAGTTTTTTGGTTTGATATACTAAATAAAAAGATGTAAATTAAGTAGTAGAGTGAATGACAGTCACAGCTGATATCAAAATTTCAAAGACAGGTTAATATTATGTATAAATAAATTATGTGTGCATAATCACTTATGTATGTATGTAGATGTACACACAGCTAAATGCGGACATCCATACATATGTACATACATATATGTATAGTGCGTGATAAAAATATAAAATTGGTCTAATTAAAAATTTTGAATGATTGACAATGTTCTAAAACAGTAGGAAAGAGGATAAACTTTGCATATACCCTGCAAACCAAAGTTCCCGAAATCTTTGGGAGTATCTCATTTCTGTAAAAGCATAAACAGATGGCAGCGTTGATCCGGATTAACTCGGGAATTAACTGCAGTTGATCCGAATTAAGTCGAGTTAATCCGTTAGCTTTAACGGGTTTTTTACGAATCTTCAAAGAAACATATGAAGTGGTCTACACGAACTCGTAAGGAAATTTCTTTACGAAAAATAAAGAAAATTCTGAAAAACTTCCGAAAGAAATTCTTCACACAGCAGCATTATTTTCATTTTCTTCCGAAATTTCGTAAAAGAATCAAAGTG